TGGAGAATGAAACAAAAATAATCACATACTTTTAATGTGAAATAGAATAATGTTAATGACCAAAATGATATAAATATCTCATTTCTCTCACTCCGTATTCTTAGCTTTAAGAAAAACTTCTTCTAGAAGGGATTAGCATAAAAATGAGGGGGAAGGCTTAGCTGTGGAATCAGACAAGCCTAAGGTCAAGACCTGGATCTTTCACCTACTACTAGCTCCGTTCCGGGCTTCTTCATATGTAAATGGGTGCTTATCCCCATCCTTCCATCTTAAGGTTTTTGCAGGGATTAAGTGAACCTGCAGAAAGGGTATCCACAATAGAGAAAGTCTTCAATAAATGGCTCCTCCTCCTCTTCCACGTTATTATCTCGCTAGAGTGAAAGCTGCCCAAGTGCAAAAGCACCACATTCAGGTCACTTTTCACTTCGTAGGCCTGTGATGAGCTTCCTGGGGTTTGGCGGAGGGGAAGGGGGCTCCCAATCTTCATCCAGTGTCGGTACCCCTCCTGGGCACGATTGGAACACAAAAGAGGGTGGGCTGCAGGCAGATAGCGTGGGGAGCTTAATAGGAAAGGGGAAAACTTATAAAAAGGGGAAAGCAAAGGATGCAGAAGGCAATTTACTGCTTCACAATGTATCTTCAGGAATCCTTCATCTCATTTCGCACAGCAGTCAGGGGCAAATTGAATTTAATCAGTTGAATCAAATTCTTAAGGCAGAAAGGCAACATACTTTCTAAGGAAGTCCGTGATGATCTCTTTTGAAAGTACTCTTACAAAAAAAAAAAAAAAAAAAAGAAAGTACTCTTACAATCTCTTGAATTTATCTGTTTTATAAACTTGGGGGTTTTGTACATCGATTTTCAATTTTGACCTAGATAGGACTGTGTAGCGGATTTTAGAGCAAATAGGTATCGAAAGGACAAACGGATGGTTGGCAGAGGGGAGCAGGGCCAGACGGGGAAGGAGAGTGGGAGGTACAGGCTTCCAGTTATGAAACCAACAAGCCACGGGAATAAAAGTTACAACGTGTAGGATGTAGTCAGTGCTATTGTTGTATACTGGCGGATGGGTAGCTACACTTGTGAGCAGGACATAATGTGTAGACTTGTGGAATCACTATGTTGCACGCTTGAAACTAATGTAACATTGTGTGTCAGCCATATACCAATTTAAAACAGGAGAAAAAACAGAAATCTGAAATGGAACTCAACAGGAAAGCAATTAAAATGAAGTTGTAATTGGGGCGCCTGGGTGGCTTAGTCGGTTAAGCGTCCGACTTTCGCTTAGGTCATGATCTCGCGGTTCGTGGGTTCGAGCCCCGCGTCGGGCTCTGTGCTGACTGCCAGCTCAGAGCCTGGAGCCTGTTTCAGAGTCTGTGACTCCCTCTCTCTCTGACCCTCCCCTGCTCGCGCTGTCTCTCTCTCTCTCCTAGAAATAAATAAAACATTAAAAAAAATTAAAAAAAATGAAGTTGTAATCCCAGAAGCCTTTTCAATCTCAGCTTTTCATTTTTTAAAAAGAGTGCTTAGAACTTGCCACGCAGGGTCTGAGCGCTTAGCCACGTATGAAGCACGTCCTCGCAATCTCCCCGCAAGCTGGGTGATGTTGTCTGAGACACGGGGAAGCTAGGACATAACTACTGAAACAATGAATCCTTGTCCGCTTCACTTTCGTTTCATATAAATAGAGAAATTGAAGTCATTTATTCTCTTCCACTTCCAAAGCAGTTCGGCCTTTTGAGGAAAATAAGGGAGCCTCGCCATCTGGTGGCTGCTCGTGGTATGTGACGATAAGGTGGCCGCATTCTGCCGTCTAGGAGATAGGTGCGAGACCTCCCCTTGCTACTCAAACCTGTTAAGGAACCTCTCAAACAGCTAAGCTGGCCTCTCCTGAAAGGTCGTTGTCTTTAAAAATCCCATGCTCTGTCCAGATCTTTACTAACAAAAACTGAAGTAACAGGTTGTTTGTTTTTTTTTCTATTCTTCAAGTGAGGTTTTATGGGACACAGTCCAGCAGCAATGGGCCAGAACACCTCTGATCTTAGTCCATTAAAAAAACCCAGACATTCAGTGTCTGTGCCTTCTAGGAAAGGATTCACAGTTGCCCAGAAAATTGTTACTCGAAAACATCCACATCATAGCTGCCTCCTGTATCTTGGGCTTTACAGCAGACAAAGGAACACATAGGCCTCCCTTGTATTAAACAAGTCATGGAATTAAAATGTTGCGTGTAGATTGAATATTTGAGTTTCTAACCATAATGATTATCTGGGCACATAATTTTCTTTTCTTTTTAAAAAAATTATTTAATGTTTATTTATGAGAGGGGAGGAGGGTAGAGAGAGGGAGACACAGAAACTGAAGTGGGCTCTAGGCTTTGAGCTGTCAGCACAGAGCCCGATATAGGACTCGAACTTATGAACCAGAGATCATGACCTGAGCCGAGGTCAGATGCTCAACCAACTGAGCCACCCAGGTGCCCCTGGGGACACTGTCTTCATACGTACTTAATTCATAAATCACAGCTTTTGAAACTTGGATTTCTCCACTCTAGACAGGTTCTGCTCATGATTTTCTGTCAGATGTGTGCCCCGTTAGCTATATCAGAATCACTTGGGGGAATTAAAACACAACTACAAAAAGATCCCAGGCCCCTTCCCAGACATTCTGATTTGGTAGGTCTGTGGGGAAGCCCAGGCACCTGCAGTTTTAGACCCTCCCCAGGAGTTACTGAAGAGCAGTGAGCTCAGAGAAGCACTGCTCCTGCACCACCTCTGCTGACCATAATAAAGACTGTTGGTGGGAAACACAGATTAGATACTGTTTCCACCCATCAGGCTGGCAAGCCAGAAGAACTGCTGTTACCATCCCCTCAACATAGCCATGGAAACAGTGTATTCTCATTTCCTGCTGCTGTGTGTGTGAGCTATGGCCAAAGTTGAAGAAAGCAACCAATCCCAATTTAGGACCCAAGGGCCAAAAAAGAATCAAGGCCAAAAAAGTTTATTGTAGTGTTATTTGTAGCAATTAACTAGGAACAAGAGGACAGTGGAATAAATGAGGATTTAGTCACTCACTGAGGTATTATGCAGTATTTTTTCTAAAAAATTCAATTAGATCTGAATGTTGCAAGGGGTCTACATACTGTTAAAGAGTTGCTGAGTTTTATCCACACAAGTGTGTGTATAAAAAAATTAATAAAGCTGGTATATGAGTTATACATACTTGTGTGAGAAGGGAGAAAGATGTGAAAGCACAGATCATTTTAACGTTAGATTCTTCATGGAGGGAGGAAAGCGGTGGAGTCATTGATTTTTAACTTGTTCCGCATACATTTCTGCATTTCACTCATCATAAACAGCATGAATCTCTTTTGCAATTTCATTTTTTTAAATATTTTATTTATTTCTGACAGAGAGAGACAGCATGAGCAAGGGAGGATCAGAGAGAGAAGGAGACGCAGAATCCGAAGCAGGCTCCAGGCTCTGAGCTAGCTGTCAGCACAGAGCCCGATGCGGGGCTCGAACTCACAAACCATGTGATCATGACCTGAGCCGAAGTCAGACACTTAACTGACTGAGCCACCCAGGCGCCCCTCTTTTGCAATTTCAAAGACCCAATAAAGTTTTTTCAAAAACACATTGGTGGACCAAAGAGTGGTGTAGTCTCTTCCAAAATCTCTGCTTTGGCATGATTATCAATACCACTGAGATAAAATCTAATTTATAAAATATTAGTAATACATGGTCAAGATGTAAAACATGACACTAAAGAGAACCAAGGCTGTGCACCCACATCCAGATTCAGTAACAGAGCACTACCCTCCTTTTGATGCATCCTGGAGACCTTCAACACTCACATCCCCTCCCTTCACCCTGGAATTATGCCCCCTTTTCATACCGGTGATTTTCATTATAGATTCATACATAGGCATCCTAAAGAATATATAGGTGGCTGAGTACCCATTGTATGTATTTGCCACATTTTGTTTATTCATTCACCTGGATAAAATGGATATTTGTATTGTTTCTTCCTTTGTGAGTAGTGCCGCTGCGAACATGTATGTACGAGCATTTGCTTGAGTATCTTTTTCATTTCTCCTGGAGCTACACTCGGGAGGGGAATTGCTGGGTCATTTGGCAATTCGACGTTTAACTTTTTGAGGAACCACCAAGTTGTTTTTCACAGCAGCTGCACCATTTTACATCCCTACCAGAAGCAATGTATGATGGTGCTGATTTCTCCACACCCTCATCAGCGTTTGTTATTGTCTATAGTTGTCGTTGTTGTTGTATAGTAATCATCCCAATGAGCACAAGTGACACCCCATGGCGGTTTTGGCCTTTATCCAGTTTTTAATTGTGTTGTTTATCTTTTTGTTGTTAAATTGTAAGAGTTCTTTACATATTCTGGATATAAGTCCCTTATCAGATATATGATTTGCAAATATTTTCTCACTTTCTGTACACTGGCTTTTTACTTTCTTGATGTCTTGTCACTTTGTAGATAATATTCTTTGATGTACAAGAGGTTTTTTTAAATTTTTTAAATGTTTTTATTTATTTCTGAGAGAGACAGTGTGAGCAGGGGAGGGTCAGAGAGAGAGAGAGATACAGAATCTGAAGCAGGCTCCAGGCTCTGAACTAGCTGTCAGCACAGAGCCAGATGCAGGGCTCGAACCTACGAACCGTGAGATCATGACCTGAGCCAAAGTCAGACGCTTAACTGACTGAGCCACCCAGGTGCCCCAAGAGATTTTAGTTTTAAGTCCACTTTCTCTATTTTTTTTTTTTTCTGCTGTTGCTCATGTTAGTATAGATCTAAAGTCCATTGCCAAATCTAAGGTCATGAAAATTTACTGATATGTTTTTTTAAGAGTTTAATAGTTTGCTTTTATACATAGTATTAAAAATGTTGTTTAATGTTTATTTATTTAGTTAGTTTTTACTGTCCACCATATCTGTTAGTTTATTTATCAAGAGAAATTATTCCATAACCCAACATTCATGTTTCATAGCTCAGGAACACAGGTCAGTGACAAACTTCCATGGAACTCAACCCAAAAAAATTCTTTACACTCCAAAATCACTTTGCATTCTGAAAGATACCAGCCTTCCTCATCTCTTCAAAATCTTTCAGGGAATCATAATTTCTGTAGAAATCTGCATATGCCTTCTTTCTTGGTTTGGCCACAGCAAACTTATAGAAAGCTGCAACCCCGAGGGACACAGCGAACGCTCCAACAATATGAAATCGCAGGTGCTTGGCCAGAAGGCCTCGCATCTGAGGTTTCATCAAAGCACCGGAAGTCATGGTAGTTATTCTCCTCAACACCAACCTCAAACCCAACCAATGTTTGTTTATTTTTGAAAAAGAAAGAGAGAGAACCTAAGGCAGGCTCCAGGCTCTGAGCTGTCGTCCCAGAGCCTGATGCAGGGCTCAAACTCATGAACTGTGAGATCATGACCTGAGCTGAATGCTTAATCCACTGAGCCACCCAGGTGTCCCCATTTTGAATGGCTCTTTTATATGTCATGAGGTAGAAATCCAACTTCATCCTTTTGCATGTGGATATCCAGTTGTTCTAGTATTATTATTGAGGAGACTATGCTTTTTCTCTGTGAAGGGCATTGGCATCCTTGTCAAAAATCAATTGGATAAAGATGTGTGCGTTTATTACTAGACTCTCAATTTTAATCCACTGTCCTGTCTATCTTTATGCCAGTGCCACACTGTTTTTGATTAGCGTAGTTCTGCAATATATTTTGCAACTAGGAAATGTGATGACCCCAGATTTGTTGTTCTTGCTCAAACTTGCTTTGGCTATTCAGATCTTCTTTATCCCTTCATCAGTTGATTTTCCATAATTTTCCTATTGTCGATAGCACTGTTATAAACATTGGGTTACATGTGCCTCTACAAATCAGCACTCCTTTATCCTTTGGATAAATTCTTAGCAGTGCTATTGCTGGCTCATAGGGTAGTTCTAGTTTTAATTTTTTGAGAAACCTCCATACTGTTTTCCAGAGCAGCTGCACCAGTTTGCATTCCCACCAACAGTGCAAGAGGGTTCCCCTTTTTTCCACATCCTTGCCAACATCTGTTGCTTCCTGAGTTATTAATTTTAGCCACTGTGACTGGTCTGAGGCAGTATCTCAATGTGGTTTTAATTTGTATTTCCCTGATAATGAGTGATGTTGAACATCTGGATGTCTTCTTTGGAAAAGTGTCTATTCATGTCTTTTGCCCATTTCATTTTGCTGTCTGATTGCTGATGCTAGTGGATATCCCTATTGTGCTCCTGATCTTAGAGGGAAAGCTCTCAGTTTTTCCCACTGAGGATGATATTAGCCGTGGGACTTTCATATGTGGCTTTTATGTTGTTAAGGTATGTTCCTTCTATCCCAACGTTCTTGAGGGTTTTTATTAGGAAAGGATGCTATATTTTGTTAAATGCTTTTTCTGCATCTATTGGCAGAATCATATGGTTCTTGTCCTTTCTTCTATTAATGTGATGTATCACGGTGATTGATTTGTGAATTTTGAACCAGTCCTACAGCACAGGAATTAATCCTACTTGATCATGGTGAATAATTCTTTTAATATACTGTTGAATTCAATTTGCTAGTATCTTGTTGAGAATTTTTGCATCCATGTTCATTCAGGGATATTGGCCTGTAATTCCTTTTAGTGGGGTCTTTGTCTGGTTTGGAAATCAAGGTAATACTGGCTTCATAGAAGGATTCTGGAAGCTTTCCTTTCATTTCTATTTTTTGGAACAGCTTGAGAAGAATACGTATTACTCTGAAGAATTAATTCTTCTTGAATGTTTTGTAGAATTGACCTCTGTAGTCATCTGATCTTGGGTTTTTCTTTGTTCTTGATTACTGATTTGATCTTATTTGTTACTGGTCTGTTTAGACTTTTTATTTTTTTCTTGATTCAGTTTCACTAAGTTGTATGTTTCTATTTATTTATTCTAAGTTATCCAATTTGTTGGCATATGATTGCTCATGATAGTCTGTAATGATCCTTTTTACTTCAGACACATTATTGTAATATTTTCTCTTTATTTTCTGCATTTATATTTTTGAGTTCTTCTCTATTTTCAAATAGTCTAGCTAAGGGTTTGTTGATTTTGTTTATCTTTTCAAAAAAACAACTCTTAGAAGTTTTTTTCTATTATTTTTCTATACTGTATTTTATTTATTTTTGCTCTACTATTTATCATTTCCTTCCTTTTGCTAACTTTGGGCTTAGTTTATTCTTTGTCCTATTTCTTTGAAGTATAAAGTTGGTTTGTCTGAGAACTTTTTTCTTTTTTAGTGTTTATTGATATAAATTTCCCTCTAAAGTACTGCTTTTGCTGCAACCCATAAGTTTTGGGAGGTGGTCTTTTCACCTTTCACTTGTCTCAAGGTACTTTTTAAATTTTCTTTTGATTTCCTTTTTAACTCAGTAGTTGTTCAAGAATGTGTTGTTTAGTTTCTACATATTTGTGAGTTTTCCCTTTTTTTTTTTTTTTTGCTATTATTGATTTCTAGTTTCATTCCATTGTGATTGGAGAAGATACTTGAAATGATTTAAATTTTTCAAAATTTAGGGGCACCTGAGTGGCTCAATCAGTTAAGCATCCAACCTTGGCTCAGGTCATGATCTCACAGTTCGTGAGTCCAAGCCCTACACCGGGCACTCATGCTAAGAATGAAAAGCCTGCTTCAGATTCTCTGTCTCTGTCTCCCTCTCTCTCTCTCCACCCCTCCTCCACTCATGCTCTCTCTCTCTCTCTCTGTCTCTCTCTCTCTCCCCCCCCCCACACACACATAAATAAATAAATAAACATTAAAAATTTTTATTTTTCAAAGTTTGTTAACATTTGTTTTGTGATCAAATGTGATCTATCTTGGAAAATGTGTGTTCTGTTGACTGGAAAGTTCTGCATACATCAGGTAGATCCTTTTGACATACTATGTTCTTTAAGTCAATTGTTTCCTTATTGCTTTTTCTGCCTCAGTGTTCTACCCATTGTTGTAAATGGGATATTGAACTCCATCCCTATAATTATTATATCATTGTCAATTTTCCCTTCAGATTTGTCAGAATTTGCTTATACTACATGCAGGCGTTCTGATGTGGAATGTGTGTATTTATAATGGCTATGTCTTCCTGGTGAGTGGAACTTTCAGCATTATATATGACCCTCTTTGTCTCTAGAGACAGTTTTTTAAGTCTATTTTGTGTTATGGAAGTGTAGCCATTCCTGATTTTGTGGGGTTACTATTTGCATGAAATATTCTTGTTTCTTCATTTTCAGTCTAGGTGTGTCTTCCAATCTAAAGTTAATCTCTTGTAGACAGCATATCGCTGGATCTTATTTTTTAAATCTATTCACCCATTCTATGGCTTTTGATTGGAGAGTGTCTTAGTTCATCTAGGCTGCTCCAACAAAATGTCACTTAGAAACAACAGATATTTATTATCACAGTTCTGGAGGTTTGATGTAAACATAAAAGTGCCAGTATGGTCGTGTGAGGCCCTCTTCTGGGTCTAAGGCTTCTCATTGCATCCTCACATGACAGAAGGGGCAAGGAGGCTCTCTCAGGCCTTTCTTTCTGAGGGCATTAACCTCATCCATAAAGGTGGAGCCTTCATGACCTAATACCTCCCAAAGACCCCAGCTTCGAATACCGTCACATTGGACATTAGGGTTTCAACATATGAATTTTTGGAAGACACATTAAGACCATAGCATTCTGCCTCTGGTCCCCTAACATTCATATCTTTCTTGTATGCAAAATTCATTCATTCCATCTCAATAGTCCTAAAAGACTTAACTCATTCTGATATCTCTAGCAATTCAAAAGTCTAAAGTTCAAAGTCTCATACAAATACCATCTAAATCAGATATGGAGTAGACTGAAGGTACAATTCATTCTGAGGCAAATTGTTCTCCAGCTGTGAATCTGCAAAAGAAAGCAAGTCATGTGCTTCCAAAATACAATGGTGGGCAGGGCAAGGGATAAACTCCCCATTCCAAAAAGGAGAAATAGGAAAGAAAGAGGTGGCCAAGTAAGTCCAAACCCAGTAGGGCAAACATCAAATCTTAAGGCTTAAATAATCTCTAATTAGATGCTCTGCCCACCAGGGCCAGTGAGGTGAAGATAGCATCTTCTGGGAATATTGAGGTATCTTTGCCCCCATGGCTTTTCTGAGGCAGCACAGATAGCAGCTTTCATGGCCTGGATTTGCATTCCTACAGCTTTCCTTATGTGAAATTGCACACTGGTGATTCTACTGGTCTGGGGTTGTGGGGGCATAACTCCACTAGGCATTTCCTTAGCAGGGGGCTCTCAGCATTAACCTTGCCCCCTCTGTAGTCTTCTATCTGGTTTGCATGCCTACAGTTCTGGCTGGGTCCATTCTTTGAAATCTAGGTGGAGGCAGCCACACCCAACACTCTGTTGGGCAAGTGTCAGCCATCTATGGCTTTGGGTGGCCCTGATCTCATAGTTGCGGGTAGCACCACTCTTATAGCTAGGAGCAGGGGTTGTCTGGTCTGCTGAAGCCCAGGGGATAGATTTCCTCTTTTTAATACAAACGCAGCAGCCTTAATGACCTCTGGATTATTTTGGGGTCCTTCTTCTCTTATCTTGGAGAACACTGTGTATTCACAGCTTAATCACTCTACAATCCCATCCTATAAAATCTAAGAAGTCTCACAACTTTTCTTCATTCCATTTTATCTCTTTTCCCTTCAGTTAAATTGGCTGTTTTCCTTCTGGGGTGACTGCTGTTTCTATTCACATGTTCAATCTATGCCTTTTGATCGGGTAGTTTAATCCAATATATTTAAATGATACCATTTATTTGTTTTCTGTATGTCTTATGGCATTTGTTCTTTACTTCCTCCATTAGTGATGTCCTTTGTGTTCAGTTAAATTTTTACAGTGGCTTGTTTTGATGCCTTCTCATTTTGTTTTATGTATATTCTATAGATATTTTCTTTGTGGTTACCATAGTGATTATATTTGACATCGTAGAATTATAGCAGTCTAATTTGATCTGATGTCAACTTCACCTGCATACAAAATTTACTCCTTTATAGCTCTCTCATCTTTTATAGCCCCCTGCCTGGTTCATAAACAGAACCTTGTTAAACTAACCCTTACCTTTCTAGTTACTTCTCGACACAATTAACTATCCCAGCCAAAACCCCTTTGCTATGTCATGTTTTTACAATTTACCACTCTTTGTTCAACTCATATAAGTGCTCAACTCTAATTGCTTCTTTGGGTCTTCATTTCTCTTGTGAAAGTTCCCATATATATTTAAGAAAAATAGTAA